TCGCCTTATGAAATGGGACTTATTGGACGTAAGCATTCTGAATTTCTTTTTCACTTAATAGTAAAAAATGACTTAATAAAAAAAGTTTCGTGGCTTTTTTACAAATTTGCCCTCATTTCTTCATTTCGGTTTATATAATATTCTTTTTTTTTTAATCCATCCAATTCTGTGTGTGCAGAGAACTTCATGCAAGGATATCGGTTGGCTTTTAATAGGGAGAATCTTACACTTGGGTGGTCACGTTCAAAATGTGAGTACTCCAAATCCAAACTCCAACTACATTTTGAATTATAAATTATGAATTATATAAGCAAAAGTACATCACTTCACTTATATTAATTAATGGAAATTGAAAAACGGAATGCTAAATATTTATAAAGCAGATGAAATCGGAATTATAAGATTACAAAATATTTTAAACATAGAATACTAAACAAAAAAAGTATATATTTTAAACAAATGGAATAGTTTAATATTTAAATTTTAAATTATAAATTATAAACAAATGGAATACTAAATATCTACAGAAAACAAACAAAATTACAATATATTATTATAATACAGGCAAAATATGTTTTACTTAATTAATCCTCAAGTAGATAGATTATTACATGAATATATGAATTTTGGGTCATCTTATTCTTAGGTCAACCTCTAAAAGACGAGAAAGCTTCCGGAAGCAATGCCAATGCCACGTCACCAATTTCACTGCCAACAACCGAACAACAAAGGACCCCAAACGCCCAGGCAGTTGCCCCTGCTGTTGCCGGAAGAACACCTTCGAAATCATCAGCCACCTTAATTCTCTCAAATTCATCATGTTTTTTATGGAATTTACTGCCTCTTCTTCTTTTACTGCTATTTCATCAGTCACCTTCCCTTCACCTCTGTAAATACTAAACGTCACTCCTCCTTTTAGGTTTTTTTAGGAGTCTTATGTTGTTGTTAGATCAGTGGTGTTTCTGTGTAAGTGTGTGTGTGTGTCAATCATGGACTTTTGACTTGGTATGGCTCTTTTTGGACATGGGTATATTGTAATATGATGAGTAACTACTGGTTTATATAATCAACCAATTATGGCTTCTCATTTACATCCACATCCACATCATATGTACTCTATGAAATGCAACATTTGCTTCCCAAACGTACTTGCATCTTCTCCAACTGTAAGTTAAAGTCAACAACTGGGATTTAAATCAAGGTCCATCATGGTGTGCACATAGAATTCGTTATTTTCTGAGAAAGAATTATGAAAGTAGTAACAAACCTAAATTTCACCTACAAGAACTTCTTGAAATAGGATTAAATGACAGGCATAGAGAATCCTTCCAACCTTGTAATTTAACTGATTTGGCTGATTTTTGGTGGAATGAGAGCACTAACCCTATCAATGAACTTAATACATGCCTTGACCAATCGTTAGAATCTTGAAATCATGACTACAACTAACCTAACTGCCAAGATACGGACGGATGGAGAAAGAAGTGCTTTACCCTAATTGCCAGTCGGGTCTAATGGTCTTTCCATTTGCTTAAGTCTGTTTGGATTCGGGGTTTCTCCAGTTCGGTTTTGTTTTTCCCATTTTGATTTCACTCCTTTGGATTAGGTTGTAGGTATGAGTAAGTTGATTTTATAAAAGGTTGAGTTAGGTGATTACATAAATGCCCGATTTAGGTTAGAGTTGGGTGGTTCGTAAATGAGAGTCACCATTTTACCTATAAAAAGGTCATGGTTTGGTTAGTGTTATCACACACTCACACTTAAAAAGGGTTCTGAAAGTAATGGTTGCAGTCCCAAACGATGTAGTAGTTGTTTTGTCAAACCCTCGACATGCACGTGTCTGAAAAACTTTTTAAGTTGATTGAAATGGTTGATGGGCCATAGAAAGTGCATTGCAAAAAATGTGGCGACCCCATGCCTTTGGATCGGTTTTGGACCGTTTTTGAATATTTTTGGGACAACTTCATGGAAAGAACAATCATAATTAGGATTGGCTAAGGACCGACAATAGGCTGGAAATGATAAATGTACCCGAATCGTTGGTATGGACTGACTAAGGACTTACCGATTTGCTCCCTATGCAAAACAACGTGGACCGGTCAGGACCGATTCATTTGTGCACATCTAGTTTTACCGTTGGAGTTTTGAATGGATCGCTGAGATGGTTTTTATTTATAGATAAAAGATAAAGAATGTTAGAACTTTTTAAGCTTTATTTTAGGGTTGATAACATAAAAGACCCCACATATTATATAATTTTTTATGGATTAGACCTTAATCCCCCCCCCCCCCCCCCCCCCTCTCCCAAACAAACAAAACAAAACAAAACAAAAAAAAAACTTTGCATTTTTCTATTTTTTTTTCTCGATTTGACATTTTTAATAGGTTTACCAATTTTTTTTTTCTAGATAAATTTTTTTTTCAAAAAACCCTCACATTTGTGTAACATCCCAAAATACGACCCAAAAATTTCTTTTAAAACATTACTAAAACCATATTTATAAAAACCCGTATCATAAGTCATAACATAATTTTCGAGTATTAATTCAAAACATAATCTTATTATCAGAGTAAAACATTCTCAGACGAACTGACTATGGTGTGTGCACTGCAACCTCTTCGAGCTCCTCTTTTGAAAACTGAGTATCTAAAACCAAAGACTGAAACTGTAAGCACGAAGCTTAGTGAGCTCCCCCAAACTACCACATACCATAAAATAACATATAAACACATATTGGGCCTTGCCCACTGCATCGGACCGAAGTCCAGAAACTGCATCGGACCGAAGTCCGGAACTAACCAGGGCCTTGCCCTCTGCATCAAACCAAAGTCTGGAACTAAACAGGGCTTAGCCCTCTGCATCGGACCGAAGTCTGGAAACTGCATCGGACCGAAGTCCGAAACTGATTGGGACCTTGTCTCCTGCATCGAACCGAAGTCCGGAACTAACTACATCAGACCGAAATCCGGAACTGACTGGGACCTTGTCCCCTACATCGGACCGAAGTCCGGAAACTGACTGAGCATAACATAGCATAGCATAAACATATCAACTAGCATGAACACATAAACTGCATACTGCATCGAGCCGTAGCCCATAACACAAAACACATAAATGCTGTCTGAGCCACGAAGGCATCAAATATACTAACTACTGCATCGGACCGAAGTCCGAAAACTACTGCTAGCTAAACGGGCCGGCATTGTGGCCTTAGACCCGTTCCCACTGGAAGGAAACTCACCTGAACTATTGAGCTGTGCTGATAACCCTCTGGCTGCTAACCGACAACCCTCTGAGGCGCTGCTCCTCTAGCTCTCCGAGCTACCAATAACAATATAACACTTAGTCTGACAGTCCTCCAAAAGTCAACTAAGTCAACTCTTGACAAAGTCAACCTTCCAGGTCAACCCTACTCGCCGAGTCTGCCTACTGACTTGCCGAGTTCATACGCTCAAAATCCTTTCATTCGCGACTCGACTCGTCGAGTCTACCGATTTCCGAGTCCTGTCCAGTCCACCTCACTGATCCGAGTCTTAACTCGAAGGGTTTGGGGTTTCACGACTTGACTCGCCGTGTACAAGGCAGTCTTCAACAGACTCGCCGAGTTGTTCTTCCAACTCGTCGAGTTCCTGCCTATCTTCATCCAACTCGCCGAGTCCACCCATGTGACTCGCTGAGTTACTAAGCGATTTAAGTCTGGTATCTAGCCCGACTCGTTGAGTCTTCTCCCAGACTCGCCGAGTCCCTACGTGTATTCTCATAATCTCGAGTCACAGAGCTACTCCTTTGCTCCAAGCAATAGATCTGGGTTCCTAGAGTCCATTAGCAACTTAAAGTTGCTACCTTTACGTGCTTCTTGTCTCATAATACCAAAACCAAGCTAGAAAGGAACTTAACTCATGGGGAATGGCTTTTGCATAGCAACTAACAGGGCTTTCTGCATCTTTGATCCAAATAGAGCTCAAATCTGGAGTTTCAACTCCAGATCTAACTTGTGCACCAATTTCTCATCACATACTCTCAAAGAAACCCTAAAACTCCATGAAAGACAGATCTAGAAAGGAGAAAGCCAAGGATAACGATTCATTACCTCCAAATGCTCTAAAAAGTACCAACTCTGGATCCAAAGCCTCCTCTTGCACCACTATGAATCTCTTATCTTCCAAGCTTCAAATTACTTCACCAAGAGTAGATCTTGCTCCAAAAACGGTTATGGTGACTAGGGTTTGGGGTTCTGGACTATAGGGGCCGCAAATGAGCCCTAGGGAAGAGAATAAGATGCTTAAATAGGGTACCAAATCCCGGAATTAGGGTTTCCCAACCCAAACCAGACTCACCGAGTCCACTTTCCGACTCGCCGAGTCGGTCACTTACTTTACACCCAGATCCCGCTCCGACTCGCTGAGTTCTTCCTTGGACTTGACGAGTCGACCCCTTAAACTTATGGTTTTCCTTTCTTTTCTTTGCCTTTCTGATTTCGGGTGTTACAACTTGACTACTTTTTCTTTTGGATCACAACTTTCATGTTTTTCTTGTTTTTGTTGCTTATGGTGTCTTTGATAATTTTTAATATTAAAACTTAGTGAAATGTTAAATTTAAGAATATCAATAATAACTTGGATAATTCTAGAATCATGTTTTGTATATATACTTTCCAAACTGTGTGATTTCGACCTTGTGGTATCACAAAATCAGATTTTGGATAATCCAAGAGCAATCGATTTGAATTCAGGCTTTTTTTAAATCCGAAACACAAAACATAACGGTTGTATTGTGTTTTCGAAGAGATAGTTTGCATGCAAAGATAAGAATATGAATTCTAGTTATAAACTTGATAACCCTGCAAATACCATCTTCCATTTTATACTTGGAAGTGGGCACAAACATGGACTTTGTGTGTTTTTATCTTTATAAATGTAAGACAAAAATCTTCAAATGTTGATCGTATATGTTGAATCTTCATTTTTATTCCTCTTCATACAAATGTTAATTTTTATTCCTTTTCATGAAATGAGGAAAGCACAAAAGACTTATGAACATTTGTGAACCATTGATCCAATTCATATGAAGACATCCATAAATAAAAAAGTTTGGGAAACTAAACCACAAGGGACTTGCACAATCTTACCTTACAAATTGTTTTGAATACTAAAAACTATTACAACAATTCAAACAAGATTTGAACACACGAGGAGGACTAATGTTCCTCTGAATCACCCTTGCAATCATCTCTCAGTTCTCTAAGTATTGATAAGCTTGTTTCCTGCCATAATAAGTTCAAAACAAATACTACATATTAAAGGGATTTCACTCAAAAATCAGAATTTTAGGACTACATATTTCATGCATTTAGCCCTTCCTTATATTCTGCTATAAAAACTATTTATTTCCTTGGCAAAAAGTAAATGTGAACAAACACAATTTCCATATTAATGGTGAAGTTCCTTTTCTTGGAAACTAACATGAACCTTTTACCCATATTAATAATTACATATTTGTGAAGGAAGTGACTATGATCCACAAGAGTGAAGCTTATTTCAGAAATTTAACTAACAATCAAATATAGAGTATTTTACCAAACTATCTGGCAAGCGAAATAAATGTATGCAGTCTTTTGATCCCATCAAGATTATTATGTACACAGTATTTGTTATTATTCTTTCTTTTATCGTATTCCACTTGTTCATTACAAAAAATGACTTAAAATACATACGTATAACAAAAATTTTGAAATGGGTATGAATCTTCATTACAAGAATGAAATTAATGTGAAGATCGCTGTTTAGAATTTAGCTTATACAGGTTGCATTATTATGATGATTTTACATATTTGAAAACCTAACATGCATTAGATTGGTAGAATGGTTTAGAATGTGAAGGAATCATAATATGTCATGTGTTTGGTTGGCAGGAAATGGAATCGAATTCAATAAATAAACTGTATAATTTTGTTAATGTATTTTTATTTATTGTAGACATATATAATCGGCTTTCTGTATTCATTTAATTATGTTCGTATTTTAATCTTCTGCTTGGTTTTCTCATCTTTGCATCCATTGTTGCAGATACATATCAAGAAATATTAATTTTAGATTTGACTTCTTATATTCTGTTATGAGGTGTTTCATGTTATGATGTGTGGTTTCCCTGGATTCTACTGTTTCGATCATACCCTCAAATTGTGGCAACAAGGAAGTAATTTTTCTCATGTGAAACTTTTATGTAAGTTGTATCTTAAATTATTATCTAACCTAAACCAAATTAACAAGGAATGTTACCAAATTGCCCCCTTGCTAATTTTTTATTACATTTATGATACTTCTACTTATTTCTCTTAGAGCTACTAAGCACAAGCAAAGCCCTTGTAAATTTACTATTACAAATTATAGAATAAATTACTGAAATCGTCCCTATGGTTTGGTAAAAACTGCATGTTTGGTCCCTAACAATATTTTTGCACTCAGATTGTCCCTGGGGTTTGATTTTGTTGTGTTTTCCGTCCCTTACATACATAAAGTTAGGGACTAAACATGCAATTTTGACCAAACCACAGGGATGAAAAACGCAACAAAATCAAACCATAGGAATGATCCGAGTGCAAAAAAAAGGTTAGAGACCAAACGTGTAATTTCGATGAAACCATAACGACGATTTCAGTAATTTACTCTAAATTATAGTAATATGTTATTGTCAACTATTTAGTTAATTGATGTTTAATATTTTATTTTTTAATAAGATATATAATTTTTATATTTATTTTTAATTCACCCTCGGGCTTACGCCTCATGAGAAGTGAAAACACCTCGAGGCTCGATTATGTTCTTTTAAACCTTGATCAAGACTACTTTTATCTATAGTTAAAGTCCATTCAAGTGTCAAGAAAAAAGGGTTTCCTTTAAAAAGTTTGGACAAGATCCAACTTGTTTCGTTTGATAGATATGTTTGTTGATGATGTTCCTTGTTCTAATGACCAATACTTTGTCCCCAAGTATGATTATTTATGAGAAGCAAGAATAGGATGGTTGATGAGGTTACTAAGATGAACTTGAAGCCACCGGAGCCCATGGATTCTAAGGACAAGATAAAGAGGCTACCTCAAAGAATTTGGATGCTATACACCATTTTTAAATATTTTATCCACCTTGAGCACAAGATGTTCTTCAAGGACTGGATATTGCTATATATCCACTAAGTTGATGTTTTTTTTGCCAAAAGAGTTTCTTGACCTCTTATCGGGACCAATAGCAATCCAATCACAAAATCTGTCAATCCCGAATTGTTGAAATTTCGATCCTATGGAACGCGATTTCAATCAAATGAATCCAACGACCCACCAACTCTAAAGGAGGTGGAAAAGGTATATAAACTCTTTGTGCAATAAGGGATTTCAATCGAAGGATGATAAGCCCCTCGAAGTTGACATAGTTGGTGTATCAGAGAGTAAACACAAGGGGGTCAAAGAAATGGGTGTGTAAGCATTGCAACTAGATGTTTACCAACTCTTATACTATAACTCATGTACACTTTTTTAGTGCTGCAATAAGGAAAGCACCAGAAATCAAAAGGTGTCCTGCTATACTCAAGGATCGAGTTAAATATCAAAGCTTGTTAAACAAAGTAAAAGCTATCAAATCAAAAGGTTTTTCTAAACCTTTAAAAAACTCTATAATTAACAAAAAAAATATACCTCTAATTCTAAAAAGCACCCAACGATTCTTTTACTTGTAATGGAAAGAAACAAAGTTGATATAAAGTTCTACATAATCCTCAGTTTCAAGAGATGATCACAACCATAAACAAGGCACATATTAGCTACAAGGCTCCTTCATATGATAAGGCTCGAACCATTTTGCTTAACAAGTGTGTGAGAGATATGGAAAAGGGGCCGACTTCAATGAAGTGAAGGATACATGGTATACACAAGGGGTTTCTATTTTGTAGGATGGCTAGTCCAACGTTAAACATCGACAATTAATCAATGTTATTACTGTCAAGAGCCGTGGTGCCATGTTTATGTATGCAGATGACTTTTCTAGTGTAGAGAAGACAAGAACAGGAATTACAAACTTCTTGCTTGGAGCCATTGAAACCATAGGAAGTAATGTTCTTCAAGTTGTAACTAACAATGTAGCAAACTATAAGGTTGTTGGAAAAGAGATGGAAAAGGTATATAAACATCTGGTCTCCTTGTTGTGTCCTTACTTTGAATTTAGTTTTTAAAGATCTTGCAATTGAATGTTTTTCGCTAATGGACACATATAGGAAAGGGAAAAAAACTGTTAAGTATTTTCTTAATCACACCCATGCATTGACTATTTTTAGAGATAACTCACAAGTGGAATTGGTAAAAGTAGCTGAAACTAGATTTGCATCTCATTATATTTTGCTCAAAAGGTTATGGAATTTTAAAGTCTCTTGCTACTGCAATTGTCCTTAATTCATGGAAATAGTGGCTAAAAAATGGTGATGAAAACACTAGGAAAAATAGATTATTAGTTGTTGATACAGTTAAAAGTGAAAACTTTTGGGATAATGTGGAAAGTATTCTTGCTATTACAAAACCAATATACTTAATGGTTAAATTTTGTGATGGTGAGGGATCAAAGATGGGAGAAATTTACGAGAAAATGGATGCTAGGATAGATTAAGGATGTCATGGTGAATCATTGTTATGTTGAATATTATCCTCGAGTGGAGAAGAGCTCCAAATCTTGATAAGGAAGTTGTGATTGGTGTAATGGAATCTTTTAAGAGGATCACGGAAAGTGAAGAAGATGAGGGTGTTATACGTAAGCAATTTGTTACTTTTCACATGAAAAAAAGGCCTTTATTCAATGGCAGCAATTCACATGGATGCGGTGACCATGGATGCCAATGATTGGTGGTCAAGTTACATGTCAGAAACTCCCAAACTTGTTGTTATAGCAAAGAAAGTTTTATTGCAACCTATTAGTAGTTCCTTAACTGGGCCACACAAGAATCAAGATTCTCCGAAAGTTATGTTGATAAATTGGTGTTTATACATTCGAATATTCGTCTCGAATCAAGATTCTCTAAAAGTTACACATCCGGGCCACACAAGAAGTGGGATGTAAATCCCGAAAACACTAACTTAGAAGAGTCAAGTACACAGCTTAAAGAAATGAAATGGGAAGATCTAGAAGTATGTAGTATTTTAGCTTTATGTTTTGTACTTTTGTTAGTTTGACATTTGTGTTTTGCCATGAAGTATGTAGTATACTTTTTATATTTATAGTATTATATATTTTAGTAGTATATGGTATATCGTACAACATTACCCTCGTTCCGAATTTTATAGACTATCGATCCTCAATCCCGTTTTCGTTCCACGTACAAAAACAATCCCATTTTCATGTAGCTATGGTTTGTTTTTTTAGAAGAATGTAGACATAAAAAGGTCTACACATCCTCTTCTTAGAGGAAAAGGTCCAACCACTTGTCACCTCTTCATACCTCTTTTAAGCTTAAAAAACTCCTAGGTTGAAGGGAAAAAAACCCAGCTTAATTCTTCACATTTTAAAACCACAAATGACAAAAAAAAAAAAAAAGTTATACTTGGCTTTTGATTCTTAAAACTATACGGTACTTTTTAGTATAGGTTCTTCCAAAGTTTGGATCATTTTTTATTAAAGATGTAATATTTTAACTATTTTTCATATTGGATCCAAAAAAGTTTTACAATCGTTATTTTGCCATGTTATAAACTTTAAAAAATAATTTTGCAAATGTTTTTATATAAAATTTTGTAAGAAGTAAGATCCAAGTTTTATAATTTTTTTATAAGACCTTTTTACAAATAAACATTACCATTGCATGAATTATATTTCTCAATTATATTTTTGTGTTGCATAAAATTTCTAAAAAAAAATTGTATGAATTATATTTCAATGTTGTAAAACTAGAATTAGTTAAATTTTAGTGTTGAAAAACTCTTTTAGGTTTAAAAAATCAATTCATTTATATTTCAATTTATTTTAGCAATTTGCAAACTTTTAAAAAACAAACAATCTTCTTTAGCAGATGTCTGCAAATGTGGTCCGCAAACTACAAACGTTTTATCTCTTAAAAAACAAACACCTAAATAAAACATTTTAGAAAAAGGGTAAAAAGAGGAATTCAACAAAGAAAAAGCATTTTTGGTAGTGGAAGGGTAATTTAGGCACTTTAGGTTTTTATTTCTATTAGAACGGAAAACTAGTAATTTTTCCCCTTAGTTGTTTGTCTAGGAGTGGAAGGAGAGCTTAGCATCTACGAAAGATTTGGTATTTTATACCTTGGGAGAGATTAGGCTCTCGAAACTGTAGCAAATCATTAGGTTATCATTATGTTCTTTTGATATTTTGAAGTGTTTAATTCAATACATTAGAGCTTTTATTTCATGTTCTTGTTTTTTACTTCATTCTCCAAGTGAGTTCACATCGGTTTCCAATTCATCAAAGGAGCAATGCATAAGACCATTTGATTTCCAACTAATATGATAAAAAGTAAATAAAAACTAGAAACAAAATGGAGTTAGTTGTCTTACCAGTTGGCTTCCCTCACGAACAAATATCTCCTCCATATGAACAAAAAGTGACATCCATCGACCCGTGAGATCCGACTCCAAGTTTGAGAATTTTTCTGAATTCTCTTCCCCACATCTACCAATCACACCATCCTTGCTGTTTTGGTTAACCAAAATGCTCGCTTCTTTCTGACTCTTCTTTATTGCTACACACACACACACACAAAAAGGTATTCATCTGAAGTGCAAAATCTTAGAAAAATACAAAGTACACCCCAACTCACCAGCTATTCGGCCTTTGATATCTTGGTAGTGTAGATCTGACCAAAGGTAAGCAGCTGATTTTCATTAAAGAACACCAGAGTCTAATCAGATCATTGTAAGACTCTACAAAGTATCGAAATTTGTGCTTCTTACATGTGTATCAAGTCAACTAACAACATAGCAATGTGAGAATTATTTATAAAGTTTGAACTTTGAAACTCACCTTTCATGCAAAAGGAACATGGACAAGCTTTGATAGACTCTATACACATGCTTGAGAATCCATCGCCCTTAATCTCTAAACCGCATCTGGACTCCTGTGACTCGGGAAATTTTGAGCAATCAAGATAATCATCTTTGCTTGAATATAAATTATCAAGGCAGGCATCATCACCATCATCCATCCCCAAACTGTTTTCCAGCTTTTCTTTTGATGGATTTTGTGGTTCAAAAACAGAATCAGTTCTTTCATCTTCTTCAGCTTCTACTGTCACGTGAGAACCGTTTCTATCAGATGGGCTCACAACATCACCAGCTTTTAAACCAGAAGAGGTGATGCTTTTTCTACCATCTTGTGAGCAGGGTTCCTTAATTTCACATGAGATCTTAGATATACTGGCTATGGCTGAAATCTCTTTATGGAAGTTTTCTTTTTGGGAGTTATCAACTCTTAGACATTCTTTCTTTGCAAACTGAAATCCTTCATCTTTTTTACAACCATCTATAGATTGAACACCTGGAGTGGATACGAAAGAAAACCCCCTTTTCCCAACTTGATTTGTAACATCTCCTAACGCAGATCGGGGTTTGCAAGTCGCATCCGATGGTATCTCTTCGCTCATAGTTGAAGCAAGCAGACAATATTCAACTGGACTTACTCGACTAGCAAAACTCAAGAATGATACAAAACCCGCTTATCAAAGATGTCAGAATCGACGAAATATCAACTTGTTGCCCTAAAAAAAGCACGATTTTTACAATGTTACTCGAATTGGGAAACGATAAGCAGTAGAAAGTTGCAAACAATGAGAATCTAATTAATTGAGCGTTGAGATACTGACCTTGAGGAGGATCTAGACCCAATTTCTGTATGGAAAGTCTGAAACTTGGTTGACCAGGGATGAGAGTTACGAGGGATATATGGGTGCGATTTCCCAAAGCATCTCAAACTGAATTATTGAGGCGGGAGAGAGGAATGCAGCTGAGGTCTTCTCATTTGATTCTATTTTAAACTTCACGGGTCAAAAATTTTGGATGCGCGCCTTCAATATTTGGCTGCTATTATTCATTTATTTAGTCATTTTTTTTTCATTTCTATATTTTTTTAAGACAAAATTAAATGACTAGTACATACGATGATACGATTTATATTAATTAGTATGGTCATTTATAGAAAAAACATCATAAATGGACCTTGTGGCTTCCCAAAATATGAAGTTTAGTTTCCATGGTTTAAAAACCTCATAGATGGTCATTATGTTTTCAAAACTTTTGACGATTGGTTCTTATTGCTAACTCCATTAAGTTTATTCTGTTAACTAAAGGGCATTTTCGTTATTTCACTACCACAGGGACCATTTATGATGTTTTCTTTAATTTTTTTTGAAAAAAAAAAAGAAAAACTTAAATATAATTATTTAATTTGTAAAAGCTCTCTCTCTCTCTCTCTCTCTCTGGAACGCCATTAAGGATTTGAAGAACAAACCCACATTGATTTCTTTAACTCCTTCATCTGTTCTAAAACCTGCAACATAACCTTAGCGACGTTACCGATTAAACAACCTCACCGCCATAGTCTTGATCAGAATCGCGCTCCAGCACAACACAACCATTCATATTCGAAGCCAAAGGGTTTCCACAAGTTGTCGATTTCTTATGGGTCACTAGCAGAGGACCGATGGTGAGTGGTGAAGGAAAAAAGTACATGCGGTGAGCAAGGGAAGGTGCAGTGGCAGCACTGAAACGGGTACCATTAGAGGATATACAGGTTGATGGCAGTCTGAATTACATTGAGTGCCCAGTCGCAATCCTCGACCGGAAGTCGAAGGATCTGAGGAACAAGAGGGTGGAGTTAGTGAAGGTGTAGTGGCAGCACCGAAAGGGGTCCGAGTGGACTTGGGAGCCGGTGGAAGAAATGATGGAGCATTACCCCGAGCTGTTTCAGGATCGAGCAGCAGACTTCGAGGACGAAGTCTAAAATAAGTGGGGGAGATTTGTAGCACCTGGTTCCTGGTACGTAAAAATTTATCAAAGTAATTGTCATTTTAGCCTTGGACTCGGCGAGTTGTAGGTCCGACTCGCCGAGTAAGGACGCGATCCGGGGGCACGCTTAAGTTGGCGACTCGGCGAGTCATCGCTGTTTGATGAAACCCTAATTCCAAGGGTTTGCCCCATATTTAAGCTAGCTTATGCGACCCAAGCTCGCCCCCATTCACCCTCAGAGCCCTATATCTCGTCCAAGCTTTGTTTCCTTGTGAGTTTGAAACATTTGGTGTGTCCTCTTGAAGTTTTGGAGTGGGAAGAATAGTAGATCAAGAAGAAGAAGAGGAGGTCAAGCATCTTTGAGTTATCTCAGTGTGTTCCCTAAGGTATAACTCGTTTTCCCCCTTGTTTTCATGCTTATTGTCCCTTATAGCTCCATTAAAGTCCTTCTTGAACCATTTCCAAGCTTGGGTAGGTTTGAGGGTTCGTAATAAGCTGATTAACCTTTAGATCTAGGCATGGAGGAGCTCAGATCTATTGTCTTTTTGGAACCATATTACATGAAAGCCCTAGATCTACCCTTTTGGTGCATTTTGGACCCTAAAACCCTCATGGTTTCCTATTTACACGTAAAGTTTGAAACTTTACGTGTAAATCAAGCCCCAGGATCACGGATCTATGTATGGCATGAGCTGGATTCGAGCAGAATCGACCATATAGTAATTGCATGGTAACGACTCGGCGAGTCGTTCATCGGACTCGGCGAGTCGAGATGCGAGTCCCCGAGTTTTCCCCCTTTTCGTTATGGCGAGTAGTGTAGTGAGTTCGGGGTGGACTCGGTGAGTTGGAAGTCGAACTCATCCATGAAGGAACTCGGCGAGTCAATGCCCTGACTCGGCGAGTTCAAGACAATCTTCTTAGATCAACAACAGACTCGACGAGTTGTTCATACAACTCGGTGAGTCACAGCTTAGAGTGTTCTTCAGATGAAGGCGAACTCGGTGAGTTGTTCATACAACTCGGCGAGTAGGATGCATGACTATTAAGACTTGGGTATAGAGAAAGGGACTCGGCGAGTCTGGTCAACTGGCAGTTGACTATGACTTAACCCATGACTTGTTAAGGGTAAATGGGCAATTTACCCTGAGGGCGGTTAGCAGTATTTGACTAAGTGTTTGGTGGGAATTACAGTCGGAGGATTTCCGGAGCAGCAACAGCAGCAGACAGACTATTCCCACACAGATCAACAGCTACTACGAGGTAAGTTACCTTCCAGTAGCGGTGAGTCTACGGCCACAATGCCGGCCCACCAGTAGGAGTTGTATGATGGATGATTGTCTTTGTGATATTCATCTAAGGTTGCTACTACATGTGATATGTTTATGTGCTAGTATGATATGATGCTATGTGTTAGTGACAGTAGGGGGAGATAGTCCCCAGATTACCGGTCGATAGGACCGAAGGGGCGATCATGCCCAGCCATGCTAGATAGATTACGAGATATATGTGTTATGTGGTAGTAGTAGTAGTAGGGGTGAAATAGTCCCCAGTATCCGGTCGAGAGGACCGAAGAGGGAGACCAGCACCAAGATATGCTAGTCAGTATCCGGTCAAGAGGACCGAAGGGGAGGCAAGCTCCCAGTTATGCTAGACAGTATCCGGTCAAGAGGACCGAAGGGATAGGTCGGGGACCCATATATGCCTGACGATATATGCTTGTTATGTGATTGTATGGTATGTGGTAGGTTGGGGGAACTCACTAAGCTTCGTGCTTACAGTTTTCAGTTTTGGTTTCAGGTACCTCTTCTTCGAAGGGGAAGGAGTTGGCGCAGTAGCGGCCCATCACACACATGCTTCGTATTCCGCATCATGAGAACTTCCTGGGGATTTGTACTCTGACATTATTATGTTTATTGAAATGTTTTCCAGACATGCGATATATTATTAAAATACGTTGATCAGTAAATGTTTTAATTCGAATGTTTTGTTAAAGATATGTTTTCAAAAATGAAATTTTTGGCTCGTATTTTGGGGTGTTACAAGTTGGTATCAGAGCCCTGGTTTGAGGGATTCGGACACACCTTCGGGGGTGTTTGAACTCAAATCAAGGGATTAAAAGATTTTGGAAAGAGAAAATGTTTTCTAAAAGGCTAAGTAAAGGGTTTTAAGAAAGAACAAAGTGTGTGATGTGCGCGACCGGCCGAGCTCAAGTAAGTATTCCCCAATGTACCCATACAAGTTTATTTATGTTTATCAGTTTTTGTAGAACAACATGCTTGAATAGGACTAAGGAACTAGGAGTGATGCCTTATGTGTCTGCTTTATGTGCTTCAGTATATGAAAGAGTTGTATGCTAGAGTTGAGTAGATAGCAGTAGGGTATCCTGTTTAGGTTATTCCTGATAGTACGAGCTTAGCATTGTATGCTAGTTCAGTTCTCTCTACGAGGATAGAGTTGCTTGAGATTGTTTTCCTTATGTCCAAATGTTGTTTGATTTGTGCTATGTGGGCTTTGAAGTGATGGGAGTTAACTGTTAGGTCAATACGTTAAAGTCACATGTGATAAGGGTTGAATAATCTCAGAGTGTTGGATTTGACTCTATTGCGTAGCTCTTGTTTGAGTCCTAACCGTTGTAGAGATGAGTCCCTTACTCAAAGGATTATCCGAGCCTCATCACATGTGATTGTATTCAGGTAATAGTTAATTGGCATCACCAAGAGGCCTTCAGCAGCTGAGGACTGGGTTGGGTGGAGTCAGAGGTTTCCTAGGGTAAGCCTAGGATAAAGAGTAGCAGTGATCAGCGGTAGTGGAAGGGACCTGGTTGAGTCGAGGCGGTCTTTGGGGAAGGTACGGATAGATGTGGAAGGTAGTATGGGCCCGTACTACTGAAAGCAGAGGATCCGTACCCAAACCGAGGAAGGCTAAGATAAGACCAGGGAACCTGTAGTGGGTGTGATTCCTTAAGGGGTATCAGTATCACTAACAGTGGTTATTTCTTTTGCATTTCAGAATGGTGGTACTACGCCCGAGGCCAGCAATTGGCAGTTCAGGAGAGGGATCGGGTTCGGGATCAGGTTCCGAGCCAGTAGATGAGAGGCTGCGCGAGTTCATCGCGTCGGAGATCACCAGAGGTATCCTTGAGTCGACCCCCATTATCTTCGGGTTGATCAAAGAGGGGATATTGGAGATGATGGAGGATCGCCTCCGACCATTCAGGAGTGACATGGCATCTGGCCAGTCGGGATCTCACACACTGTCCTTCAAGGACTTTCGGGGCAGTGGTGCACCGGACTTTCATGGGGCGAAGGACACCATAGCTACCAGACGATGGATTGCAGACATTGAGTCTGCATAGTTGACTAGCTTCTGCCCTAAGGGGTCGAAGGTGAGATATGAAGCAGGATGTCTGAGAGATCGAGCTAGGGATTGGTGGGAGTCTTTCGGTGACTCATTGGGAGCCTCGGTTGTCGAGGCTATGACCTGGTCGGACTTCGTGACCAGGTTCAGGGCAGAGTTTGCGCCTGCTGTTGAGCTTCAGCAGCTGGCCAGGGAGTTCCTAGATATGAGACAAACGACGGAGACTGTGGCAGAGATCACCCCAAGTTACGGGAGAGGGCGTTGCTGGTGCCCCAATACGCGG